AAAAGTCAGAATTGGCTTGATAGCACACTATTATTATTATTACTATGGTAGTGTATCTGAATAATGAAGATAATGAATGTTCACGTTTTCGTATCAATTAAAAAAGTTCTTCAGTCTGCTGTCTTGAGCTATCCAAATAATCCACAGGGACAGCAGCACAGTAACAATGCTACACTACAGGTACACACACCACTGGTTTCTGATAATACTGTCAACCACTTGGGCATTGTTGTTTCTGTCAGCATCATCAGGCTCCCTTGAAGCATTTAGCTCATCTTGCTATTTTTGTAACTGTTCTCCAAATGGCTGAAGTAAGCTCTCTGTCAGTACCTACCAGGGATATCTTGCCTGATATTTGTCCTAGGCTGTTAGATCATCATGTTCTGCCCTTCTAGATTAGGACATTCTATTATATGTATATTACAATAGCCCTCGTGAGATCTGACATTCAAATGTTCGGTCAGCCAGGGCCATGCTGACTAGCTCTGTCCTCAGGTACTCACACATAGAGTGTATATGTTTGCAGAGAAGGACTCTTTAACAGCCCAGCTGTACACACAATTCAATACAATTGGAAATCTATGTGATTATATTTCTTGATTATGTAGAAGACATTTAGGCATGTGAACACTTCCTGCACTTCAGATCATCATGCTTTACTGGAATGTGGGGCCATCACGTTTAAAGAGGGCTACTGTAAGCCACATTTTCATGAGTGACAACAACTGTAAGGGGATTCTTAGTCATATTTCTAAAAACAGATATCTGATTCTCTATGTTGGTTGTATACCAGTGAGTGCCAACAAACACATCATATAGCTGTCTCTGGATTGCCAAACATTAATTCTATTAGTCCTGGAATTCTTTCTTATTCAACAGATTTGAGATGCCAATAAACAAATGCATAGTTTGCAACAGACCTATATTAGTTTATGTGGGTGTTACTTCTATTAAACTCATTTTCTCAGCAGAAGAGTATAAACTTGCCATTATCTTGAAGGAGGCAAAGCTATATTCACATTAGTCCCAACAAGAGCAAGCTGATTTATGTAAATCAATGAAAATTATGTTATTTGCAACTAATAAATCCCCATTATTTCAATGGGTTTACTCTAGAAGGCCGATACACAGAATTTAGCCCTTAGTCTTGAATTTATAAGAACCGCAGAAATGACTACCTGGACAAAAAAACACAACTAAAGAAGAACAAAAACAACCACCAATGTGATCCTCTGAATTAACCAAAATACTGTTCTTTTTTCATATACAAAGTACATGTGGATATTATTGAAAAACGGTGAATAGTGGTGCATAAATCTCGATACATTATCTACCCCAAACAATCACTAGATGATCTATTGCTCTGGAAGAATTATAAAGAAAATAAAAATGACATACTAAGCAATTAGAAATAATGATTACATGAAATTGTAAATGTACAGGGACAAGGGTTTACATAACTCTTAGGTGGTCTCTTCTACAGTATTCTATAAGTCTTCATTTACAGTAGGGAAATATTCCACAAAATCAAATAAAACAATATGCTTTCCACACTTGATCAGGAATTCTCAGTTTTTGCAACACACTGTGATGTTAGCCACACAATAGAAGTTGACTGGACATTGCAGAATAAAAGTGTCCATTTGTGTCTAGTTTCATAAACTTCTATGACATTAAGGGTGGATTTTGGATTCCAGGTAATCCAGTGACAAAGAGTGTTTTTGGAAACGTTTTGTTAAGCCACACAGGAAGCTTTCTGCCATTTACTAAACTGGGGCTTATGGAGAAGCTCTATACAATCAGCAAAAACAAGACCTGGAGCTGACTGTGGCTCTGATCATCAGCTTCTTATAGGAAAAATTCAAGCTTCAACTGAAGAAAGTAGGAAAAACCTCTGGCCTAAAAAGGTATAATCTAAACCAAATCCCTTGTGAACACACAGTGGAAGTGAAGAACAGATTTAAGGAACTCGATTTGGTGGACAGAGTCCCAGAAGAACTATGGATAGACACTTGTAACATTGTACAGGAGGCAGCAACAAAAATCATCAAAAAGAAAATGAAATGCAAGGAAGCAAAGTGGCTGTCCAACAAGGCCTTACAGATAGCAGAGAAGAGAAGTGAAACAAAATGCAAGGGAGATAGGGAAAGTTACAGAAAATTAAATGCAGACTTCAAAAGAATAGCAAGGAGAGACAAGAAAGGCTTCTTAAATGAACAGTGCAAAAAATAGAAAATAATAGAAAGGGAAAAACCAGAAATCTGTTCAAAAAACTGGAAATATTAAAGAAACCTTTTGTGCAAAGATGGACATGATAAAGGACAAAAATGGGAGGGACCTAACAGAAGGAGAAGACATCAAGAAGAGGTGGCAAGAATATACAGAGGAATTATACCAGAAAGATCTACACCGTATTATGCTCCTATACATTTCAGTAAGTCATCATGCCTTGTCATCACTAAATGTCATTTGGTTTCTCTGGGCCACAACTACAAGTGTGACTCTCGATTTTGACGACTTACAATCAATAACGGCTAATACTATGAGAAAGACATAGTTTCTCTTTCTTTCTTTACTTCCCATTACTCTCTGGAAATGTTATAAGAGTGACATTTAAAGTTACCAGAGAAGCAAAGAATAGAGCTATATAGAAGCAGTAAACACACTATCATGATGATGCCAGAGAGATGTCTACGGTAAGATCTCATCATCTTGAGGGTTTCATGATATAGAAGAAGAAAAAACCCACACCCAAATCACAGTAAACCAGTTTTGCAACTGAAAGAGAAAGATTAGTGAGTTGATAAGATGGTAGGTAAATGTGTTCTAATGTTCAAGAATTAATGGCTTAAAATCAGCAGCTTCTGATTTATCTATTTTTTAAATTAGTATTTCTACAACTTGGACCTTTTAATCCTTTGTATGTTGAATATGGCAAGACAATGTTTTCCTTCAGTAGATGAAAAATTCAATTCTTAAAAAAAACCATTTTATGAATGTGGGATATTGTCCTTCTGTATCTACAATTCATATTGCTGCACAATATCATGGCTGCATTACCAGCAGGAAAAATGATACTGAGCTTTACATCGGAGACGGCAGCTTGAATGTTGACACCACCAATGGCAGCAATTAAGACGGTCTCTACAGGATATTCTCTTGTGCTCGTTACATTTCACAAAGTGACACCAAGCAAAGGAAAATCGCAGAAGCTGACTCCTTTTTTCATCAGTTAACCATTTCTCATACAAACACAAAGCAACTGTCAAGGCTGTTTTTTACAAGTGTATATCGACAAAACTTGTCACTCTAGACCTGGAGCTGATTTCCCCTTTGAAAATGTACATCAGGAGCCTGGTCTCAGAAGTCCTGAGGGAATGTTTACTGAAAGCACTCAGGGCTGTGAGAAACACAACTGCTCTCTGCTTTTGTAATGCACAAATACTTGAAATATGCCTTAGAAAACTGTATGCTCATTCCCTGGAAATACATGACAAAATGCCCCTTATCTGGAGGACTCTCACTCCATTACTTTTTTGACTCTACCAAGGAAACCTATCTTTTGACTGTTTCTGTGACCTTTTATTATGCTCCAGGTATTTTCTTTTCCAACCCACAAAGCTGAAAAAATATATCTCCTTTGCAACATTCTTGGTGGTAAGCCTGTTTCTCTCATGCTCAGTTTTACAACAAAGTGATTGTTTTTCATTTTCGAAAAGCCCTTTTGGGGGATCAATATTTTAGCCCCTGCAGCTTGGATTCTTTCCTGTTAGAAGTTGGTGTGGCCAACCATTCTTTTTCCAGATAAGCAAGATTGGTCTTTTCAGTTTGTATGATTTATTTCAAAGCTGGGAATTTTTAGGGTCTCTTGTTTCTGTGTGGGCTATAAAACAGTTTTACTTTTTAAAAATCATAACTCAAAATACCTTAGCCCAAACCTCCCCAGGTTTGGCATATGACAAGTGCTGACTGTCTGCTACTACTGTGCTAAATTTGGTGCTGGTCCTAAGTCCAGTTTCAATGTTATACCTTTTTTGGAGGGACTGCCCCCATTTTCAAAATAACTTCATAGAATGTTGATTTGCTCTGCTGCATAATGACATAGCTGCACTACCAGCAGATATAAGAAAAACAATGCTCATATGAAGTCCTTCCTGAATCTTGGGAATCATACCCTTCAATATTTTCTGCTTAGTGGATTTTACTGCAACTGCAGTTAATAACTAACTGTTAAATTAAGGTCCTTACTTTTTAATGAAAATATATATATATATTTTAAAAAGTATTTTCCAGGTTTCAGCTCATCTTAAAGTTGTGATTCCATCCTGAGAATGTATAGAAGACAGCATTTTTAACTTCCTTGATTATATTGAAATGTAGCTCCCTTATTCTGAAAACCACACAATTTTTGCTGCAAGTTCTTTCAGAATTAATTTTTGCTACAAGCATTTAAGCAGGATGTTAACACATTTTTAACATTACTTTGGATTCTTTAATTGGATCAGATAGCTTGCTAAATATAATTGAGCATGAAAATGACATCAAAGAAATTACCTATAAAGAGCCACAGCATACCGTATTTTTCCGTGTATAAGTTGATACTTTTATCTAAAATCTTTAGACTAAAAATTGAGGGTCATCTTATACATGGAAGTAAGGGGGGAAAGGGATCAAAGCACTGCAGGATCGCATCCCTTTGATCCTGCAGCCCTTTAATCCTGCTTTTGCAGGGCTTAGGAAGTGGAGGGGGAAAGCAATGATCAAAACTTCTAATTTGGGGTTAGAAAAGTGGGGGTCGTCTTCTACATCGGGTTGTCTTATACATGGAAAAATACACTTCACTTTCAATAATTCATTTAACTGGTGACTTCATTGATAAGGGAAGCAAAAGCAGAATGAATTCTAAAAAAAAAACACACCATGTAAGCAAATGAACTGCCAAAGCATAAGGTCTGTTTTTAAATACTCAGCGTAGCTGTAGTCATGTTAAAGCTACTCACATCACTTTCGTGGCCTTCTCGAAGGTTATATGTGAGATCATGTTGAATTTCTTCAACAAACTTGTGAGCATATTCTGGGTAAAGGTCTAACACTTCAAAGAGTCCTTTGAGAATAATACACTGGAGGTCACAGTAGGTAAGAGCTTTCACGTCGGCATTTGTTTTAATCACTTGGTCCTTAATTGAGAGATTTGCTCCAATTAAATCTCCTTTACCTAACAGAAAAGAAGACAGTGTCATCATCCTTTAATGAATGAAATGTCCACTTTATATTACAACAGAAAACAGCTTAAACATGCAATGCGGAATGCACAACGTCCAAAATGCAAGGATGCAGAAGCAGGACGAAGCTTCTGTTGGTGATCTGAAATCAGTGGTTTTGGAAAACCTAATGGATTTTATTTATTTATTGAATTTCTGTCCTGTTTTTCTCCCTGTAGAAGGAATCAAGGTGGCTTAAAAATGATTTAAAAACACAAATATTAAGACTACTACAAATATAACAAAATCACATTATTGAAAACAATTAAACATGTCAATTATTTATGAGTACTAAATAAAACCTAGAGACAGAACATAAACATAGTGCGGTCAAGCACCAAGATGAAATCTGGGATCTTTGGAGACTCTGGACCCTCCTGAGAAGGAATGATTGAACTTTGAGGATCCTGGATACCAGTCCAAACTCATGAGAGCAGGGAAGAATAAAAGCTTGGGCTAGATGTTTGCTCCTGAGATGGCCTGCCAGGCCAGTATCCTGTTGTGCTTCTACCGCACAGAAGGTTTTCCTGGTGTGGCAACACAGGGTCACACGGCTTGAATAAGGGTTACTATTGTGTAGCAGTGACTTCCATGAAGATAACTAACCAAACTAACCACTGCCTGCACAAAGGCATTTGTGTGAGTGGCAGGACAACTACATTTCTGTGTTAGAAAGATATTCTCCTCAATGCAAGCTCAGTAAAATACTTGTCATCAGCTCGTGGACTAGTGACAGTGGAAAACTGTTTCCTGGACTTATGTTTACTTCTATGATGTGAATGACTCTGGGCTCTATCCTGTTGTTTCTTGTGCTTCTCCCTTATCTGTCTCTTTTCTTTTTCCTTTTTTTTTGTATTTGTTCTTTCTTGTCTTTGGAACATTATTCATGTTTGGAACTGGTGCTGCTTGGCAAGGCTTTGCTTTTTCTTGCTGTTTTCCCCTACTGTGCCCCTGGCTTACCTTTTCTGCGCTGGCATTAAATCACTTAATCTGCAGACAACCCCGTGAGGGTTCATCTACCTGAGAACTGAATGAGGACATCAAGACATGTTTCCATCTATGGCATTTTACCATGCGTTTATACAGTCCTTGCCAGACGGTAGCCCATCACCAAGGCAAGCTTAATATGACTTGCGTACATTTCAAGACATCCTGTGCTTCAAAAAGGCAACTGTGTTGGTGTATTGTAGCAAATGCAACATATTTGCACTCAGCAAATTCAGCATTAGAAAGTATGACCTTTATACTAGTTGCTACAATTAGCAGATTTCTTTTTCCTGTTTCAGGTATTTGAGGAAAGCCCCCCGTGCTTCTGCCTCTCCACTTCATGTTTGTCATGCTTGCTTTGTTTTGCCCCCTTCTTCCTCCCTGACCATCAGCTAGAGCTGCTCCTGACCTCTGATCATACAGTCAGCATGGTGAATTGAGCCTTCCACATGGTTGAGACTACAATTCTTTTCTTTTATCCTTTCCTTACTCTTTTGATTATAACTAAAAATCAATTGTAAGTAAAGATTTTCTTCTTTTCTACTTAAGCTAATTGTCAAGTACTTTTTATTTTATATCCAAAAGGCTAGTAAAAACAAAGTGCTGGGTGAAATCTGGATTTTTTTAGCTATTCTCCTCTACATTTCCTCTCTGTTGCAGCTGTTTGTTTTTGCGTTTGATGCTCTGCAAAATAAAGGAATTAACTGAAAAGAAAAAAACCTCCAATAGAAAAACCCTGCATCCCAGTGTCCATTGTCTTCAGAGGGGAGGAAGGCCCAAAGTGACTAATACCACTTAATACTACATTCTAGTAAGATATGTCAGGGCAGAATGCAAAACAGCAAAGCACTGAGTGGGAAGGATGGTCTTCTTATGGCTCACTGGTCCACCTAGTTGCTCATCAGGGTGAGCATTTTCCTTTTGCTCTGCCCTATGCAATTTCCCACAGGACTTGAGGACACCAGTGTCTTAAATCTCCCCCTCTCCTTTTGGCAATAAGAAAGGACACAATAACTTACCTAGAATTGCCAGCACCATGCTGTCTTTTAGAACTTCCATGGAACCTGAGCACACAAAATAGATAGCCTGCAAGGCATCTCCCTGCCGAAGGAGGTACTCCCCAGGAGCACAAAAGGAGGTTTTGATATGCAGAGACAGAGACCTGAGGCAACCACGACTGGCACACGCAAAAAGGGACAGTTGCAAAATCTCCTTGTTCAAGTGCATGGTGATGTCTGAGCGCAGCTCATCCGGAAAGTCCTTTAAAAGCTGTCCAAAAATGAAAGCAAGTTTCCTGCTAAGTGTCAATAATCTGTTCTGTGGTCAAAACGATCTGAAGAACTACTTACAATATGCATGTAAATAACTCTTTGTGTTCTACATCCATATATTTTAAATACAGTGACTTGCTGGGGTTGTACATTTAATCTCTAACATTTCTGTTCTTCAGAGAGTCAATAAAGATTCACATTTGAAGCAGAGTCCAGAAAAATTACTTTTTAAACTATAACTTGGCTAAAGTTATAGATCTGATGTAGGCTTCATATATTTATTTGTTGTTCAGTTGGATGGTTGGAGGATTTTCAAAATATATTTCCTGCTACTACCCTATCTTCAAAGGAAGCTTTGAAAAATATAGCGGTCCATGTGCTGACTGCTGAGCCCATTTTTCTTCTAGCTTTTGAAAAAGAGCTGGTACAAATGATTTTATCTGAAGTACTTTATATTTTTCAATCCTTGAGACATAGCTAAATAGGAAGCTCTAACATGAGACTGATTGACTCAATTAAGGAAGCCATGACCTTTGGTCTGCATGATTTAAGCAGGGCTGTTAATTATATAACCTATGGAAAGTCATTAATTAATCAAGTCATCATAGGTCTAAAGCAAAGTGATGGTGGATCATATACACATAATTAAATACTGTATATAATTTATCCTCTTTTGATCCTCTGTATTGTTTTATATCTGTTTACAATGATATACTTCTGGTTTGATTTATTTTTATTATGATCTTCTATTGAAAGAATCGCGGCCAAAATCGCGGTGTATGTATACGTGTATGAGGACATACGTATGCACACATACACACAGTATATAAAAATATGACAAAGGTCTGGAATCTTATTGGCATCTGCATAAGTTTGTGTAACTTGCCATGGCTAATTGTTGTGAATTGACGAGGTTCTGCAGTGCATCTCAGTTACACAGTTGAATGCATGGCCAGGCATGTGACTGCGACACTGCCCTCATTTTATCAGTTACTGTACATTTAGCTACAGTAAGTAACTCAAATCTTATGCAAATAGCAGTAAGATTGTGACCATTATATGTAATATTATATAGTTATTTCCCTGTGATTATGTGGGGAGAGAGACAAAAACTGAGAGTTATACATTTATATATAATTTAGGGACTAAATCCAATATTTACATAGATCTCATTTATTCAATGAATGCATTATAATCAAGTTTAATCGCTGGATCTATTCCCTAGCTACAGGGGAAAAATACTGCAAAAAGAAGTTACCACATTCTAACGTTTTCTAGTAGTACTAGTAAGTAGAGAAATCCTTTAAATGAAATTTTTGGGGTGCCAAAAAGTAACTATGGATTGGATCCAGATTTGGTAAAAAATAAAATAAAACCATTGGACTGAATGGGATTTATTTTATTCCTAAGATACTTGTCCCACTGATTTCTATAGATCCCCTCTATGCATGACTAAATCCAGATCAAAACAAACTATAATTGAACCATTGTTATAAAATTATTCTGCAAATTATTTGACAATTCTGCAAAAAGACCGAGAAAAAGTATTACAAAAAGAGATGAATCAAAGAAAGAAAGAATCTGATTACCTCGTTGGAATCTATTCCATTATTGACAGACCATGTGGTTTGGAAATATTCAAGCATTCTTTGCTTTAACTGCTGCGGCAGGTGATGGACTCTTATGAAATCCTTCAGATCCTTGGTTCTTGTATGATAAAGGGACCATCTGGAGTACATCCGTTGAATGATAGCAGTCACATTACCAAAAACCAAGGCATGCATCAAAGCTGTAAAAAAACAAACAAACCCAAAAAACAGAAGGTAAGCTGACATACTCACTGGTATTCATGTCTTGTGAAGTGATGTCGGAAATAAAGTTTGGTTACTCAGGACAGCATAATGTAAGTTGAGTACCAAATGGTAGAGAATGGATAAACTCAATTGACAGAACAAGTAAATTACAGTGTAACCTCTACTTAAGATCTTAATTCGTATTGGAGGTCTGTTCTTAAGTTGAAACGTTCTTAAGTTGAAACAAAAAGTCCCATAGGAATGCACTGGAAACCGATTAATCCGGTCCTGCTGTTTTTTGTTCTTATGTAGAGGCATGTTTGTATGTTGAAGCATTAGTTCCCATAGGAGTGCAATTGTAGGGTAGTTGGAGCATTCTTTGGCACTGCCCTTCTTTGGGATTTGGATGTACAGTTGTGCCCCGCTTTATGATTGCCTCGCATTACAATGAAATCACATTATGACAACGTTTTTGCGATCGCAAAACGATGGTCTGAATAGGGGTTTTTCGCTTTGCAATGATCAGTTCCCTGCTTTGGGAACCGATTCTTCACAAAACGACGATTTTCAGACAGCTGATCGGTGGTTTCAAAATGGCCACCGGGTAAATTAAATGGCTCCCCGCTATTTTCTGGGACGGATTCCTCACTGCACAGGTACCGAAAATGGCTGCTCTATGGAGGATCTTCGCTGGACGGTGAGTTTCCAGCCCATTGGAACACATTGAAGGGGTTTCAATGCGTTTCAATGGGCTTTTTATTTTCGCATTACGACGTTTTCATTCTACAGCAATTTCACTGGAACGAATTAACGTTGTAATGCGAGGCACCACTGTAGACTGATCTTTTCCAATCCTCTGGCCACTGCTGCGTTTTCCAAAATTGCTGGCATATTGAGTGTAGCACCTTAACAGCGTCATGTTTTAAGATTTTAAATAGTTCAACTGGAATGCCATCACCTCCACTGGCCTTGTTGTTAGCCATGCTTTCTAAGGCCCCTTTCACCTCACTCTTCAGGACGTCTGGCTCAAGGTCAGCAACCACACTATCTGGGCTGTCCGGGACATCCAGATCTTCCTGGTATAATTCCTCTGTGTATTCTTGCCACCTCTTCTTGATGGCTTCTGCTTCTGTTAGGTTCCTCCCATTTTTGTCCTTTATCATGACCATCTTTGCACAAAAGGTTCCCTTAATATCTCCAATTTTCTTGAACACATCTCTGGTTTTACTCTTCTGTTATTTTCCTCTATTTCTTTGCACTGTTCATTTAAGAAGCCTTTCTTGTCTCTCCTTGCTATTCTTTGGAAGTCTGTGTTCAGTTTCCTGTAACTTTCCCTATCTCCCTTGCATTTTGCTTCTCTTATGTTCTCTGCTATTTGTAAATAAAGCCTCATTAGACAGTCACTTTGCTTTTTTGCACTTCCTTTTCTTTGGGATGATTTTTGTTGCTGCCTCCTGTACAATGTCATGAGCCTCCATCCATAGTTCTTCAGGCACTCTGTCCAACTAGCCAACTAGCCAAGATCAAAATGTGGCTACTGATTGATTGATTGATTGATTGATTGATTGATATTGATTGATTGATTGATTGATTGATTGATTGATTGATTGATTGATTGATTGATTGATTTGATTTGATTTACATACCACTCATCTGGGTGGTTTACAACAACTGATCCTAGTTTGTTTGAATAAATCAGGAGATAGGGTGTTTTGGACTGCAACTCTCATAATTCAGCCTTTGAGGTCTGAAGCCCACCAAATGCAAATGGTGGCCTAGAGATTTGTGGGTCTGGAAGTGACCATTTTAAACAAAAAAAAAAACCAGATGCTTCTAATCTATGTTTCACCATCATGCTAGAAGATGAGAGAGTCAAGGGAGACACACTTGGGCTGATTCACAGAGTACTCTGTTTTAGTTTTGTGTCATTCAATCTTCTTTTGAATTTCTTGGTTCTTTATTCTCAACATTCAAATTGGCCTTTCTGTGCTCAAATGCTCTGGTGTAACACTGTCATATCATTTTTAGTGTGAGCTTAAAAAGAGAGACTTTCTGTATTCAAAAAGTAGCAGTTACAAATGGGCTATATATTTTGAGCTACAGGTATAAATAGAAATGTGAATATGTTGTATCCAAAGGTTTATGGAAATTAAACACTATGTTTTAAGTAACTGCTATGAAAATTTAAATGGCTGTTGAATACTACAGCTACCAAGTTCAAAGTGCATGTAGGAACAAAAATATACACCTGCAACCTCTTCTATTTTCTTGGTAAATCAGAGAAACAGATGCAAGCTGACATTTTCAGAACTCAATTGATGGGGTTTACCAAACATTACATCTCCCAGTGAACAGTTTTGTACTTTTCACTGCATATGGGCAACCCTTCCTGTCCCAGCCATGAGCTGTCTGTGATTTACTGAAAGTAATGCTAAGAACATGTCCCAGTCATGAGTTGCCAGTAACTGTTCTTAGCATTACTTCTGGAATAGCACCAAGTTTTTAATCCACATGTCTTTAAGTGTGTTTTAAAGTCCATGTATTATTAAAAGAATATACCAAGAAGCTCAGTCCTTAGCATTATCTACTCAAGTGCAAATCTCATCAGAAATTAGTGGGACCCAGTCCCAGGTATGGATATATGGGATCGCAGCTCAAAGCTCATTGAACAGCAACAGCTAAATAAAAGCAAACATCCTGAAAAGAGACCAGATAAAATGTACTGGAATTATGTACCACACTGTTTTCCTTGTTGAGTCTCTTGAATACTCAAAAGTGTTATTTCTACAAACCTACAACAGAAAGGTTTGCTAAACTACCTCCTCGTAAACCTCTGTCTCTTTTGTTTTGGATATATATTGTCAATCTTTTTTCAATTATAACTTGTCTCACCCTCTATATTTCATTCCTCTCCTGGAAAATCTTGACCACATGAATAAAAAGAGAGATCTAATACTGAAATTATAGTATATTTCTCATATTTTAAGGATATTGAGCAATTTTTTAAACATCTGCACTTTCAATATAATATTCACTATATGAGTTAATTCTGTGACAGTAAAGATAGTAAATAGTATCCAGATAGATAGATAGATAGATAGATAGATAGATAGATAGATAGATAGATAGATAGATAGATAGATAAGATAAGATAAGATAAGATAAGATAAGATAAGATAAGATAAGATAAGATAAGATAAGCTGTTCAGATTTCATAAAACTAATTACAGTGGACCCTCTACTTAAGGAATTAATCCGTATTGGAATGATGGCTGTAAGTTGAAAAGTCTGTAGGTCGAATCTCCATTGACCTACAATGCATTGAAAACTGATTAATCCCACAACTAGCAGTTTTTATTCTATTTTTGTTCCATTTTGGTTTTTTTCTGGTCTGTAGGTCGATTCTCCGGCTGCAAGTCGAATCTAAATTTTGCAGCCAGAGAAGTCTGTAACTCGAAAAGTCTGTAAGTCGAGCCGTCTGTAAGTCGAGGGTCCACTGTATAATAAATATGTCCATTCATCAAATTTAAAGTAGGTTTTCCCAGGGGAGGAGTACACCTAAGAGTAACTTAGCGTTTTCTTTGACATTTCTAGACCATCAAAGTGCTCACTATCTTTACTGTCATAGAGTTAACTCATATAACTATAATAGATATAAAACATCCACACTGTACACATCTAATTGATTTGAATATAGTATTTTACAGTTCATTACAAGTACACACCATTTCTCCTGGACACTTGGTTTCTTTTCCCCATGCAAAGGGGGAATGGGGTATGAATATTTCCTTATATCAATACAAGCCTCACAGTCTTAGGAATTCAGTTAGATTTTAATAGATAAATTATAACTGAATAAAGCCATGGAGCAAACACAGATAATGATAAATAAATCCATAGCATTTCCTCCTCAACAATTAGCTTTTACAACCAGCAGGTAGCAAGTAACACCTACACTGGTTATCAGGATGATGTGGGGGAGACAGTCTTGCCCGTATGTCCCTCCATTGTCATATAGTCTTCCCTCTCCCTGATTTTCCTTCCTTACCTGCCTTCTTAACCCAGAAAGCAAGAAAGGATAGGGTAGAATCTTGCTGTTATTTGCAGTTTTTGAAGGCAAATGCTGGATGAGTTAATTACCTCCTCCCTCCAGACTCTCTATGGGCTAGATTCAGACTGTACACAGACTTTATTGAACCCATAGGGAAGGTTGCCCATGCCTCTAGTGGCACAATGATAATATCAAAATTCCATGCTGCTTTGTGAGATCTTTCTGAGAAAGGTTATACATTATTCCACCACTTGCCCCTAGTAAACCAGATTTCTTTCCCCAAAGTTGTTGAATGGCAACTATATATTCTCCACTGGAGAGTGGCACCACACAATAACATTTTACTGTAAAAAAAGTTTAAATTCCTTTATTGTTTTTTTTTTTGGAGGGGGGAAGTGATTATGAACTAGATCCAGACTTAATTACATGTATAACAGATCCATTAAAATGGTACTTAAGTCATTCATTCATTTATTCATTCATAGTGTATTGCTTTCCAGTAAAGAAGCGCAGTGCATTTAAAAAGAACATAAAGCCCCAATTTGTGCAGACAAACTCCTTAATGCATTCATAGATTTTAAATAAATGCAGGCTGAATAATCGTGGCATAAAAATCATAATTAGGTTTAATTTGGTAAACATAGTTGCAATCTATCAAAATATCTTCAGGCTAATAAAGACAGTGAGTGGAAACCATGTTAAAATGAGTTTTCATGATGCCCAGATTATTAGGGTGACTCGGCTCTACCCATCAGGTTTCCTGATGTTGCCATAATGTAAAAGTGAACTGATGACCCTGCTCCCAGATTTTTTAAAGATCCCTTTCACTTTTAGTACTTAGTGCAATTCTATTTAATATACCAGCTGGTGATATTGAACTGTTCTGAGAAGGATGAGTTTGGAGGTATTCCTTTTCATAAGAAATATATTGATGAATGATTTTAAAAATATATGTTATTTGTGTTAGTGAAAAATATCATTTTTTTAAAAAAAGAAAAGGATGCAATCTTACTATCTTCACTGCAACAGCTAACATTAGCACTGTCTTCAACAATACCTAGAACAATCATTTGGGACAAATGGTATGAAATTTCAGAGGGATAAATTCTGTATAGTTAAGCAAGCTGCACCGTGAGTCTAAATCTACAGCCTAATAAGTACAGAGATGGTCATGAATTAAGAAATGAATCCCTAAGTTTGTTCAAAAATTGCTAATTCATTGATACATATTTGTACGAATCAATGCCTGATGAATATGAATCAATGAAGTTTTAGCGATTTTTGATTTCTCAATTTGTTGGGCTATAAAACACCCTCTCCCATGCACCTAGAGACACCAAAATTGCAGGGAAGCTTCCCCTGATTCCCATATACAGTTCTTCTAAGTTTGGTGAAGAAGCTAAAGGGCACTTTCTTGGAGTGATCCACTTTGTGGGTGTATAACATGGATGTCTGAAACCCAATCTTCACCAAACATGGAGGGATAGTAGAGGAGAGTCAGGGGAAGCTTCTCTGTGATTTTGGTGTCTCAAGATGTGGGAGGGGGGATTTAATTGGGTTTTAAAGTAAAAAAATTACTTTACAAATTGATTTATTGATTCTTCAGAAAAAAATTGTACAGTGGTGCCCCGCATAGCAACGATAATCCGTGCAGCACAAATCATTGCTATACGGATTTATCGCTATGCGAAATTAAAAAGCCCATAGGAACGCATTGAAACCTCTTCAATGCATTCCTATGGGCTTAAAACTTACCTTTAAAGCGAAAATCCTCCATACGGTGGCCATTTTAGCTGCCCGGTATGCGAGGAATCCGTCCGTTTTACCCAGCGGCCATTTTGGAACCGCCGATCAGCTGGGGAAAAAACATCGCTATGCGAAAATCGGTAAGCGAAACAGCTTACCGATTGTCGCAAAGCGATTTTCCCCCATAGGAAACATTGTTATGCGATCGTAAAAGCGATCGCAAAAATATTGTTGCTATGCGGATTCATTGTTAAACGGGGCGCCCGTTATGCGAGGCACCACTGTAATTTGTGATTTGTTGACCTTGATATATTTTTCTGATCCGTGCTCATCTCTGCTAAAAAGTATTGCAATGTCCTTGTCACTGTGGTTTCCTACAGACTTCAGCTGTATTTTAAATAGCACTGGTTAGTTAGTTTACGATCTAGATTCTGTTTTCCTTTGCTCTGAATTACAAATTCCAAGTGTCTTTTCCATTTTCAGCATGTTTTCCCCATTGAAAAAGATCAGGCTGCTATCCTGAACTATGTTTCCAAATCCAGTTTGCTGCGCAATACTTACCCCCAATCAACATTGTGCAAATTGAGAATATCTTCTCAGCATCCGTATTGGCTGAAACGTTACCAAAACCAACACTGGTGAGACTGCTGAGTGTGAAGTACAGGGCAGCAATATAGGCACTTCTGAGAGATGGGCCTCCAAAGGTGTTATTGCCATAGTAGGGAGACTCCAGACGTTTTCCCAGTTCATGAAGCCAACCTAGAGATAATGAAGTGTGGTCTGAAATCAGAATAGAATTACCACAGTACAACTTCAGCATCCTTTAAAGCCAGAAGGTAGAGAATTTGATATTCAGCTCTGATTGCACACACTGTTTGTTATTCATTCACGCAATTTATGCTTCACTCATGTTTTCTCTTAATTACATTATCTGCACAACAGGCCTGTAACGTATGACACGTTACGAGACTGGGACTGGCTCAAGGTCACCCACAGAGTTTCATTGGTTCCATGAGGTCATACACCCTGACCTCCAAAAAACCAGTCCTCTATTATAACAGCTATACTATACTGATATACTGTGGCTTCCTGTACCGCCTACTTCTTTGAGAATTCAATAGGAAAGAAAAGTAGTACAGAGAAATGAATGTGGTGCAGGGGAAAGGCCAAAACTTCTTAGAATTACGAGTCTATAGATATTTAAGTGTCAATCATGTTTACTGTGATTACACCATTCTCTTATTGCATAATGCAAATTGCTGGTCATTTTCTGCTATGCAGACAGATGGTAGACAAATACAGGTTCAGTTCAGGGCATGTAGCTTATAGGGGATAAGTTGTACAACTGATTGCATGTGTACAATGAACAGCTCAATGTGCATTTGCTCAAAGGTTCTGAAGAGCACTTAGCTATTACAGTAGGAGCATATGTTAAAGAAGGATCACAAGAAGAACAATCACAATTCGACAAACAGCTTTTGGATGATGTCATAGAATCCATTTAAATCAAGAGAATACAAATTCAGTGGCAATGAATGCACTGAGCCTAACCTTAAGTTGCACCCTGAGAAAAACTAATGTTATGCTGCAGATCAATCTTAAATTACTATGCTGAATTACCAAAAAAGGGTTGAGATCGCTCTTTGTCTGCCCCCATTGTTGCAAGCCAAAGAATCCATTTAAATCAAGAGAATACAAATTCAGTGGCAAAGAATGCACTGAGCCTAACCTTAAGTTGCACCCTGAGAAAAACTAATGTTATGCTGCAGATCAATCTTAAATTACTATGTGATTGATTGATTGATTGGAGGTGTTCCAAGTGTAGTTCTCTGGTATATTGGTTTCAGGCAAGTTTTGTAAAGCAGGGAACACACTGTATTTCCTCAGATGTCTTCTCTTTACCTCATGCTTTTCAAAGCACACGGTAGGCCAGAGGAGCCTTTAGCTGGGACATTAATAACAGCCTATAAGTTGGAACTACCCACAAGAACTTGATGCGCAGGTTCAAGGAATATGTTTTATCATCAAAAGTTCACTTTTTTGTTTGTTTGTTTTCTTGTTGTTTTTGTTTTATATTCTTAATGGTTGAATAAAGGTATCATCTGTTCCTGCATTTGCATTGTTTCAGTGACCTTATGGCCTTTTCCTGATTTCTCCTGAACTGTGTAGGCTAGCGTTTGGATACTTATGTTTAAACTTTTGGTCTAAATAGTACTCACTTTTATACTAAATTTGCTTTTAAATGACTTTTTTTAAAAAAAGGTAAGAATGCTGAGTTAGCAAGAACCTGAGAAGATCAGAATGCAAAGACAAAGGCTTATTTGAAGAATTGGAGAAAAAGAGGATTGTTAGGGAACAACCTGGTGCTTTTGAGGCTCCTTTTCTCTTTTGAAGTCCTACTTTCTGAACACTGCATTGGGAGTGTAATTTAGTTATTCTGACCTATTTTCTGCAAACCTTTTGAATTTTTCTGTCTGAATTTCCTATTTTCTGACCCGGTCAACATTTTTACTAAGTTAATTTACTATGCATAGACTTTCAAAGAGAAAGACAAAAACATTGAGAATTCAGGAACATGGACTTTTATGCCTAATTTACATTGTTCAGCAAAACTATCAAGGTTGTTACAATCTTTCCCTTCAGTAGTAAAGAACATCTATTTATTTGCAATGTCACCTTATATATTTGTGATAAATTGTTATATGAGATATCTTACTTGGTTATGGAGATTTTTCCCCCTTTTGGTAAAGGGCCGGCATACACCATTTGATGGTTGTGAGTTCTTCTTACCTAACAAAATGCAAGTGTGCTACTAACGGCAGTGCCACATGATGCTAAAATCCACAAAGTCAGCACTCAAATCTCTTTAGAATAGCTTTGTCTTGATGCCTTTCTACAGTTCCTGCCTTTTGAAAGCTCACAACTAACTACATTTGAGAGTTTGATCAAGTGTGAAATACATTAAGGACTGAATGTACACACATAAATCAGAGAATGCTGAATCCTGGCCTTGAGGTAAACATTTACAAGAAGAGGGCAGCGTGCACATCTCACCACCACCACCCCACATCAAGGACAACTCTAGGCACCACAGACAACTGAAGCACTGAAAGTGCTGCTTATCCTGCCAGACCAAAGCAATGACTAAAAGGTAAAGGAATGTTGTCAGCTATGTAGCAAGGAGCTGCAGAGCTCTTAGAACCGGTGAACAGAATAGAGTGCCTTTATTTTCTCCGGCACCCCTTGGCCTTTGTTACCTTGTACTGACAACATAAAACGGGTGCTAAATATGATATTGGAGTTGTATATTTTTCTGTGTTTCATTCCTCCCCAACATTGTGAGGAAGATAGCTGAAAATGCAAGAAACCAGCTGTCAGATGCATTGCAAACCCCTTAAACAGCAACATGAATAAATGAGAGATCAAAAACGTTAGGGATAGGCCAAGTGTGCACGTTACTGGACTGGAGGTCCTAGCATGCCTTCCCACTTAACCAGCACTGGTATAGTTAATATGTGTGTTCTGGATTCTGGAGATTGACTAAGAAGGCCATTAAATGTATATAAAGTGGTGTTTGGGGTGTATGTTAATGGGGCATATGGGATCTGCAATGAGGCCAGTTTCCAATGGTATCAATAGGGTACAAGTAGCCATCTGCAGAAGGAAAGTCTGTGTGCATAGATCTCTATGCACAAAGGCTTCTGCTAAGACTTCTCTTTCTAAGGATGCCTACCTGCATAGAGATCTATGCATGCAGCCCTTCTCCTTCACACAATGACTGACAAGGAAATCAAGGGAACATCCGTTTTGTGATAAAAATAGATTTTAACATGCGTTCACTGCATCCTAAGGCATCTATTGTCAATGCTGAGAATTTGATTTAGCCTATGATTCAGAAGAAGGGACTTGGTGGCGCTGCGGGTTAAACCGCAAAAGTCTTTGTGTGCTGCAGGGTCAGAAGACCAGCAGTTGTAAGATCGAATCCACGTGATGGAGTGAGCTCCCGTCGCTTGTCCCAGCTCCTGCCAACCCAGCTGTTCAAAAGCATGTAAATGGAAGTAGATAAATAGGTACCACCACAGTGGGATGGTAACAGTGTTCCATGTCTAGTCACGCTGGCCACATGACCACAGAAACTGCCTACAGACAAACACTGGCTCTGCAGCTTGGAGACGGGGATGAGCACCATGCCCTAGAGTCGGACACGACTGGACTAAATGTCAAGGGGAACCTTTACCTTTACCTATGATTCACAATGTCCATTGGTGTTCAGCTCCTGTATTCTCTTTCACTAACTCAGCTGGCAAGGCTGTGCACAGCTGACAACTTGTAATTCAGCCAAACACTGCTGTGCGAGGAGGAAATTTTCTAAAAAATCACGTTATACTGTTTAAATGAAGGAGGAGATTATTAAAATCTTAATGTTATTATTTGTGGTAGATTTTGCAATAAACGGCATTTTACTACAAGTTTGCATCTCTCTCAGAATTCTTTTTTAAAATGCCAGTGTAATTGAAGTTGTAATTTTCAATTCAGGTACAAAAGACATCTGAGTGGTTATGTGCTTCTCCAAACTAAGGGAATCACTGAACTCACATTATAGCCTCTTCAATATCTCATCCAAAAGGAACTGTAGATAGAGGGATGATTTTGCATCATGCTTTGTTTGCCTGTTTCTGGGAATTGTTCCAGTGTAAGATAAAATGTAAATGTGTTCCAGGCTTTGACAAGTGATGAAAGTAGCACTCAGTAGTAAAAACAGTTCACTATTTTACAAGGTTTCCCCCCTCAACTTTAAACACAATCTGCTTGCATTTTGATATATGCATCTCATTATCAAAGCCTAAATTAGGCCAGGGCTAACAAGATGAAAAGAACCATCAGCAGCAACCATAAATAAATCCCTTTTTTTTCAGCTGCTGACTGCAATTGGTAGTAGACTAAGAAGGTGTAAGGAACCTATGCTATGTATAACACTGCAGTCTTGGGATGAATACTTGAAGAAAGTCGATATATTTGTTATTATTATTCCTATGCAACAAAATCACACAAAATCCGGTTGTTTAGTATAACCCAGATCACAATGTCTCACCTGTTCTTCTCAGATAAAAAAACCACCCCTGCCAAGAATCTCAGGATTGTATCTGTGCACATGCTGTCTTGGTGCACAACACCACTGTGTCCTGTGGGATTTAATCCCTAGCATGAGTGTTCAGAACTTCAGCCCTTAGTTATTGCATTTTGAAGAGCAGTAGGACCTTCATATCAACACCCTTAGTTATTGCATTTTGAAGAGCAGTACTTCATATCAACGAGATCAGTTTCCACTGATTCACTTATCCACAGTCTTAAAAAAATTTAAAATATTAAAAGAAAAATCCTATACATAGGGCGGATTGCTTGGAATCAATCCCCCACAGACACAGGGGTTCCACTGTACTTCTTCTTATTCCTCTTCTACTAGAAATAGAGGCTGGATGCCATCATGAAGCAGAGACTTTGATTTAAGTTACAGAAAGGGGGGTTAGGTGTGTGTGTAAGTTGGAGGAGGAGGAGGAGGAGTAAGGGACAGGTTTAGAGCTTTCCTTGATTGATTAGGAGACTTAGCAATGGTTAGAATAGCATGGTAATTGAGTAGCAAAAATATTAGTTTTTAAAATCATTTTATTGTTTTATGGGAAAGAATTGCAGAAGCTTAGTTAATACTTAGATGCTAGATATTTAACAGTACAATTTGTGTCTTTTTTATTTCTTTTGTT